CCAGGATAGATGACTTATTTGATCAATTGCGAGGAGCTACTGTATTCTCTAAGATTGATCTTCGTTCGGGGTATTATCAATTGAAAGTTAAAGGATCTGATGTTGCAAAAACGGCCATTCGCACTAGATATGGTCATTATGAATTTTTAGTGATGCCTTTTGGTTTGACGAACGCTCCTGCAGCTTTTATGGATTTGATGAATCGGGTGTTCCGACCATATTTGGATCAATTTGTGGTGGTCTTCATTGACGATATTCTGATCTATTCTCGTACGGAGGCAGAGCATGACGAGCATTTGAAGATCGTTCTGCGGACTTTGAGAGAGCATCGTCTATATGCCAAACTAAGCAAGTGTGAGTTTTGGCTTCAAGAAGTGTCATTTCTGGGGCATATTATTTCTGCGCGAGGTGTTCAGGTTGATCCCAGCAAGATAGAGGCTATTATGAATTGGAAACGACCTAAGAACGTATCTGAAATCCGCAGTTTCTTGGGCTTGGCTGGTTATTATCGACGTTTTGTTGAGGGCTTTTCGATCATTGCTTCTCCTTTGACAAAGTTGTTAAGGAAGAATGTGTCGTTTGACTGGGGTGAGGCACAACAGGAGAGCTTTGAGAAATTAAAGGCGGTTTTGACTCAAGCACCGGTGTTGATTCAACCACAGTCCGGGAAGGATTTTACAGTGTATAGTGATGCTTCACATTCAGGACTTGGTTGTGTTTTAATGCAGGAAAGTAAGGTGGTGGCTTATGCATCCCGTCAGCTGCGACCGCATGAGTGTAATTATCCTACTCACGATTTAGAGTTGGCAGCAGTAATTTTTGCCTTGAAGATATGGAGACACTATCTTTATGGAGAGAAGTGTTACATTTTCACAGATCATAAGAGCTTAAAGTATCTTCTGACCCAGAAGGAACTTAATTTGAGACAGCGTCGCTGGTTAGAGCTTCTAAAGGATTATGATTGCGTGATTGATTACCACCCTGGTAAAGCTAACATTGTAGCAGATGCTTTGAGTCGAAAGACGGTATCGGAGTTGAGGTCTTTAATGGCCAAGATGAATTTATATGACGATGGCACTTTGTTAGCAGAATTGCAAGTTAAGCCGACCTTGGTTGATGAGATCAAAGCTAAGCAGCCCCTTGATAGCTCCTTGCTTTCCATCTTTGAGCAAGTAGAGCAGGGGACAAACACAGATTACGCAATTGATCAGGATGAAGTTTTATGCTTTAAAGGTAGATATTGTGTGCCTGATGACGCTGAATTGAGGCAGACTATCCTTACTGAGGCTCACAGTAGTCCATATGCTATGCACCCCGGAGGAGATAAGATGTACCGGAATTTGAGAGAGAGGTATTATTGGACTGGTATGAAGAAAGACATATCTGACTTTGTGGCTAGGTGTTTGACTTGTCAGCAAGTTAAGGCAGAACATCAACATCCATCAGGTTTGTTACAGCCTATCAAGATTCCTGAATGGAAATGGGAGCGTATTACTATGGATTTTGTTACTGGCTTGCCTATGACTCCTTTGAAAAAAAATTCAGTTTGGGTGATTGTTGACAGACTTACAAAGTCAGCTCACTTCATTCCTGTGCGAGTAAATTATACTTTGGATAAGCTGGCAAGATTGTATATTTCAGAGATTGTCAGATTGCATGGTATTCCATTGTCTATTATTTCTGATCGAGATCCGAGATTTACTTCGAGATTTTGGAAGGCGTTACATACGGCTTTGGGAACAAGATTGGATTATAGTACATCCTTTCATCCACAAACTGATGGTCAATCTGAGAGAGTAATTCAGATTCTGGAGGATATGTTGCGGGGTTGCGTAATCGATTTTCATGGTAGTTGGGAGAACTTTTTGCCGTTGGCTGAATTTGCTTACAATAACAGTTATCAGACCAGTATTCGTATGGCACCCTATAAAGCACTCTATGGGCGTAAATGTCGCACTCCGATCTGTTGGACTGAGTTGCGTGATAGGAAAACGTTGGGACCTGAGTTAGTGCGAGAGATGGAGGACACAGTCAGATTAATCCGTGACCGTCTGAAAGAGGCATTTGATAGGTAGAAATCTTATGCAGATCAAAGAAGGAAGGATATACAGTTTGAAGTGGGAGATCGGGTCTTTTTGAAAGTTTCACCCTGGAAGAAAGTATTGAGATTCGGGCGTAAGGGTAAATTAAGTCCAAGATTTATTGGACCATTTCGTATCTTGAAGAGGGTAGGACCTGTAGCATATCAGCTTGAGTTGCCTTCTGAGTTAAGTCGTATTCATGATGTTTTTCATGTATCAATGTTGAGGAGATACCGTCCAGATCCAGGTCACATTATTCAGGTTGAAGAAGTAGAGCTAAGACCTGATTTGTCATATGAGGAGGAGCCCATTCAGATTTTAGAAAGAGATGAAAGAGTTCTTCGGAATAGGCGAATTCCAATGGTCAAAGTTCAGTGGAGTAATCGAGGCCCCTCAGAAGCTACTTGGGAGACATTGGAGTCAATGGAGGCTCAGTTTCCTCAACTATTCTCATAAGGTAAATTTCGAGGACGAAATTTCTTGTAGAGGGGGAGAATTATAACAACCCGGAATAAAATTTAGAGAAAAAAAAATTTAATTAAGTAATTTGGAAAAATTTGAGGATTAAATCGAAAGTTTTCAAAATTGTAGGCCATTTTAGAAGTTAAAGGAAATTCAGGGACCAAGCCCTGCATTACTCCTTTTAGTGTCGGCAGAAAATTTCATTTAAGCGTATGAATGGTTTTCTGTTTTCAAAACAGAAAACAATTGTGAAATTCCTCCTCCCGCACTCTACTTCAAAGCCGATTCCGACGCCGTCCGAATTCCGATCGTTGTTTTGAAACCACCGTTGTGTTCATCATCGAGCGAGGAACAAACCCTTCAAATTAATTGAAACGAAACGCGGCCAAACGTCGGGAATTTCCAGTCAAAGTAGCGACGGTTTTGTTAGCTCTATCGCCGAGGAAATCTTAAATTCACCGCTGATCGTTGCTCCGTTTACGACACCTCCCGCACCATCGTGTTCCTTGTGCCGTTCCGAGTTCACCGGTGTCAACCTTGTCCGCCGTAGACGGCGGCGCGTGAGGAGGTGGTGCAGTCAAAGATTCGGCCGATTTAAAATCGAGCTCTCCGCCGTTCAAAAATTTGAACCGATCGTTGTAAGTATCTTGAAATCGCTCAAAATAATTTTTAGAAATTTTTCCGGGATTTTTAGGGCCCCGGAGGACGCCTCACGCGCCACACACGTCGCCGCAGGGCGAGTGGCTGCTGGAAACCGGTTTAACCGGTTTTCAACCGGTTCTGACCGGTTTGACCGGTTTCAACCGGTTCGAACCGGTTTGACCGGTCTGAATCGGTTTGACCGGTCTGACCCGACCCGACCGTTGACCCGACCCGACCCGACCGTTGACCCGACCCGACCGTTGACCGTTGACCGTTGACCGTTGACCATTGACTTTCTTTGACCAAAACTTAAAATGGCTTTGACCGAGCATTAAACGACCGTTAATCTTTTCCGAGTATACCTATCCTGATAGTTTTCGACGTGCCGAATCCGTTTCCGTGGTCCGTTTTGTCAAATTCGAATCCGAAGGTCTCCAAATCTACGGTCAAAGTGGTTGACTTTGACTTTGACCAAGAATTTGAATTTTCGAAAAGTCATACTTTATGTTTTTCGACGCCCTGATTCCGATTCCGTAATCCGTTTGGCCAAATTCAGACTCGAAATACCTCAAATTGATAGTCAAACCCTAAAAATGCGTATATACTTAAGAAGTTTAGCTTTGAACAATTAAATAGGATTTGAGACTGATAAATATTATTGTTTGAAGGTACAAGAGACTCTCCGGATCGTTCGACAGCTCGACCCAGCTCTTCTAGATCAGTTAAACCACGTGTGCCAGTATTTACCCGTTCGAAAACTGTAGCAGAGCGTGGTGAAACCAGCAATCAATAGATTTGTTATTTGAATCTATTGTCGAGGTGTGTTCCCTACTTGTTATTGAACTGTTTTATTGGTTTTAATACGTGGTACACCGAATTCATTGGCTATTGTTTTATGGATGCACCAATTTAATGTGACAATTTATGGAATATGGCTGCTATCTAATTTTTGTTTTGAAATGGTATATGATTACCATGCTTTTGGATTTATGGAGTTTATGTCACGGTGCAATTGAATTTTGGAATTGAAATACGATGGAATAGCTCTGATCAAGCTAACTGGGCCTAATGTGACTCTTGAGGGCCCCAAGATGTTTCATTAGGTCGGCTTTCCTTTGCTGTGTGCTTAGGGTAAGCTATATGGACTTATGACTTGGGCTTAAGGATACAAGCTTCAGAGCCTATCCTTAAGTCGGCTTTCTTTTTGCTATGTGCATAAATTAAGCTATATGGAAATAATTTTGGGAACTACTGATGGTGTACCAGAAAAGGGTTTAAACTATGATTTTCAAAAAGTTAAACTCTTTTACGAATTTGTGAGATTACTGGAATATGATTTGTACCTATTGTGATTTTATGGAAATGTTGGGACACACTGAGCCTAGCTCACCTTTTGAAAATGTTTTCCCCTTTCAGATACTGTTGGGTAGATACCTTGGTTCGAGCACTTGGAGGATCAACATATCTCTTGAAGTAAATCAGATTGTAATGTTTTTATCTGGCAAGTTTACTTTATTTTGGTGACATGGACCTTATTTTAAAATATCGGATTTTATAATGATAACACTTTTGCTACTACTGCTCGGTTCATTGTGATTTTGAATTTGAAGACATGTTTTAAATTAAATTATTATTTATTTGTACTATATTTACAAGTTGGATTTTGATAGTATAAATTGTTTATAATTTCATGTTTTTATAATGTGATTTTATATTGATGGAATAACGGTTGCGAAAAATGTCTTTAATAATTATAATGTGATCCACTAGACTTAGTCGAAACGCATAGGCCGAGTCTAGGGGGTTACAAGGACCAAGAGCCGCCATTACATACGCTCTCTGTGACAGTGCAAGAAGAGGGAAGAGGTGCATTAAATTTTATATAGATTTGCAGATGAGAATCACGAGGGATTTGGTACCTTAAAAACATGCATGTATCTCGCACCTCTATCCCTTCCCTTCGTCAAATCTTTAGGTATGAAAAGTAGAACCCCTTCTTCTTCCTAAGTTGCCTTCCCTATATAGAGGCCTAACTTACAGCAAAAAGGGAAGAAAAGCCTTCTTATTTACTAGATTTATGCTTTTTGTTTTTATGGTATGTGTTGGTTTGAGAGGTTGAAACTGCCAACATGATCTGGTAACGAGCCTAGCTATCCCCCGTCTTTTGTTTCTCTTTTTTCCTAGTTTATGGTTTTTATGTCTATGGATTACATATACCCGGTAGATTGTTTATGACCAGTTTTAGACCAAATTCTTTAGTTCAAGATGGGTTTGTTCAGGACGTGTTTATCATCCATTTGTTTTAGGGCTTTGAGAATTTTAGATTAATGGCCGAAGAAGCTAGATGCGTTTATAGGGAATCCTGCTTGAACTTTAGCTTCATATCTAGATTCTGGTTCACAATATCAGGTCATCTTGCAGCTTCAATCACTCATTCACCAACAAAATAACTTTCATCTTAGCTAGATATCATATGGATAATTGATAATTTATGCTCTCTTTCTAATATCACCCAGAGAGAGAGAGAGAGAGGTTTGACCCTTAATTTCCAGGTAATTCCTCGATGCTTTGCTAAAAAGAGTCATTTCTTGATGAACTTTTTCCCTGATTGATATTGTGAGAAATTTTGCTGTCATCTGTAAATGATATGTGATTTTCACTACATGTATTCTCTATCTCCTTAGTCTTATTATTGTAATTGTGTGTATATTATTCACATACATCCACATAAAATCACCGCACAAATCTGCACATTCAACTCTATTGTGGCGCCTGTTAGAGCTCTTAGATAATTTTCTTTTATATTTCAAGGAATAAAAGAGATAATGTTGACTCTGCACAGTTTCTGGTGCTGTTAAGCATGCCTGTGTGCAAGTTTGTCTACACTTCCCTGGTGGTATCCAAATCATCAAGTAGAACAAAATCCCATTACACAGGAAAGACATGATGGATGATCAGATTAATGCACAGTACTGTTATATAATAATGTGAAAGTAGGTGTATCAACCCAATCAACTGTTGTGAAGTTGAACTAGAATTCAATGGGGAGACAAAAGTAACTCTGATTTTGGTTGCCTCGTCCCAACATAATGTTAGGGGACCAGTTTGATGTTTTTTTTCCTCCACACATAATTTCAGTATTGTAATAATCACTTCACTCAGGGATGGATTCAGTGCATCGAAAATGGAAACTTGTGTTCGAATATGCCCCTATTCGATCAGAAATAATTGCATATTAACATTATTGCTTGGTGAGGTGTTTGTCATGTTATTTATGGTTCGTGAATATCATAATGCTTGAATGAGCAAGACAGCATGTGAAATAAAATGATGGTATTTCGCTTCCGTTTGTTGTTTTATCCTTGCATATAATTATTGTAGTTAAATAGTTTGATGATTACACTTACTCTCCATAAGACAACCAATTCATGATTGAATCAATCTGCTTAATTTACAATTTTTGTCTCTTAATGAACTTGTATGAAAACCCTTTATTTAAATTTTGGTGTTATAATACATACACACATATATATATATTTATGTTTCAAAGGAGATACTTGCTGCATATAAGGTTTGAACAATTGATTATTTGGTATGCCCTTTTTTTCCCTGCTTCTCATGATCTTGGGACAACAGTTGGTGGCGTTGTAATTTGTGTGGATATTCATGTCATTGTAAGGTTTTGTAATATGCATATATATTTGTGTTAAACTTTGTTTCATGAAAATTTTATTCAAGTCGAGAAACTAGTTTTATACATATATCTGAAGTATGGTTTGTCTTTTTAGTTACCGTTTCTTGTTTGGTCATTTCTAGCCTTGTACTTGACCCTTGTCATTTTATTCCATTAGGGATATATATGTCACATGCATGATGTTTAATATCCGAAGGTTTCAGTGTTTACGTATTGAAGCCGTGTCCAGCTTCGTTTAATGACCCTGAGAGGTTAGCTAATAGCGTCTTTAGTTAAATCAGGTAAGTGATTTATGGATTCATAAAAATAAATAATTACCCATTAATTAGAAGAAAAGGGTAAATTTTTTTTGGGTTCTGAAATGATCAATATTGATCACAGTTTATTCACACACTAAAAAGAGCAGCGAGTGTTGTTGACTTAGGAGCCTCGGGATCTTAAGCGAGTGTTTCCATGTGTTACTGTAATCAACAATCTTGATATAAAATTTGAAGTTATCCTTTATATAAAATCATGCACTTGTAGTGGAGGATCCCAGGGAACTGCAACGGTTAAGGTCAGCCAGTCGAACATTGTTTCCATGTGTTTAGCTCACCACAGGCATAGCTGTCCATACTCCCGCTTTGTGTGTTTTATGGTACACCAATTCGATACAGTAACACGGATCGATGAAATATTTAGCCACGGTACAGCCTATACATATATATATATATATACCAAGACATACACGTAAACCTAGCAACGTATTTTAACCCAATGATTTCAGGGGAACATAAATATAATCCCCAGGTAAACTTCAAACTTATTTATGCAGTTCGGCACTTATAGTTTTGTTGCGGAAGACGGTTATCGGATAGAGTAAAATCTCAACTGATAATTTGACAAAATAAAAATGAAAATAAAGAAGACACAAATTTTACGTGGAAAACCCCTAAATAATATAAGGTAAAAACCACGCGCAACGGTAGAAAAATTTCACTATGAGAAAATGAGAATTACAATTTCTCTCGATCGACCAAGAAGAAAACAATGATAATTCTCTCTTGATAAAAAGGAGAAAATAACTCTCAATAAACTCTTTAAATTCTCTCTAGTATTAGAAGAAAGCTAGAATGCTTTGGGATGATTTTGAAGCTAAATGAGCTAGGGTATTTATTGTTGAAGTTTAAGGACTAATCTTATAAATACCCTAAAGTTTAGGGATTAAAATTTATTAATTATCCATTACATAATTCAACAAAAAATAACCAACTTGGACCAAAATAGATTAGTCGCCGGCTGTCAACTTTGAATTTTGAATATTCAACAATCTCTCACTTGAAGATTTGATTGGAACAATCATATCTTCACACCATTCTTTCTACCTTGTTCCTTCATGTTGCTTACATTTCTGTTAGGCCGCAAGAGCATCGACACCGAGTAAATTTATCAACGTTGATTGCCTTCGTCATGAAATCTGCTATGTTATCTTTGGTATGAATCTTCTGCATATCTACTGTCCCTTCTTCCACTTTTTCACGAATGAAATAATACTGAACTCGTATGTGTTTTGTTTTTGAATGAAATGTTGGATTCCTTGCTAGATGCAAGGCGCTTTGACTATCACAAAACAGAGAAACATACTCTTGATTGTACCCAAGCTCCTCCAATAACATCATCAACAAAATTGCTTCTTTACTGGCTTGTGTAGCTGTTACATATTCTATCTATGTTGTGGACGTAGCCACAACTGACTACAATTTTGAAACCCAGCTTACAGCCCCCCAGCAACTTTGAATACATATACTGTAGTATATTTACTTTTATCCAAATCCCATGCATAGTCAGAATCTACATAACCATTGATTAATAAATTTGATCATCCGTAACATAATGTAACATTTGAGGTTCAATTGATGTATCTCAGGATCCTCTTTACTGTATTACAATGCTCTTTGTCTGGATTCGCCATGTACAGACTAATCATTCCCACTGCTTGTGCAATGTCTGGTCTTGTGCATATCATAGCGAACATTAAACTTCTAGGACTCATATTGGAGGATAATTTGAAGTTAATAGGAAGAGGGGTATAAATTGGCTTACAATCTTGCATGCTAAATCGTGATAAGATCTTCTTCAAATAATTCTTTTGTGAAAGCCAAATCTTCCTATTACTTATGTCTCGATGAATTTGCATCCCTAGAATCTTGTTTGCTGATCTCAAATCCTTCATTTCAAATTCCCTAACAAGTTGTGTCTTCAATTCTTCATTATGATCTTTGTTGGGTCCTGCAACCAACATGTCATCCATATACAACAGTAATATAACAAAATCGTTATCACTAGACCTCTTGAAATAAGCACAAGGGTCTGAATTAAGTCTGTTGTATATAAGGTACATAATGAAATAATCAAATCTCTTATACCAACACCTCGACGCCTGCTTTAGACCGTACAGAGATTTGTTCAATCTGCAAACCAAGTTTTTATTTTCTTTTTCTTCAAAACCTTCAGGTTGGAGCATGTAAATATCTTCTTCAAGATTTCCATGAAGAAAAGCTGTTTTAACATCTAGCTGCTCTAGATGTAAGTTCAATGTAGCACACATTGCCAAGACTACTCGAACTGTTGTTAGTCGAACCACATGAGAAAAGATTTAATTGAAACCAATACTTTCTTTTTGAGCATATCCTTTGACTACCAGTATTGCACGATACCTCCACTTGATCGTAACCATTTCGTTTGATTTTGAAGACCCATTTGTTACCAATTGGCTTCTTTCCTTATGGTAGTGGCACAAGGTCCCATGTATTATTTTTATGAAGGGCTTCAATTTCTTCTTGCATCGCCATCATCCACAGTGAAGCATCTGAGCTGCTTATTGCCTCCTGAAATGTTGATGGCTCACCGTCCTCTGTTAAAAGGCAGTATGCAATATTACCTTCTATAACATAATCTGAGTGCCAATTGGGACGTCTTCTCACACAATTTGATTGACGAATTATTGGAGCTTCAGAACTCTCTGGTTCTTGTTCATCATGTGCTGGTTCTGCTTCATAAGAATCTTCTTGTTCATCCTCATTTTTCACATGTATTTGTGTAGTCTCTGCTTTTTTACGCTATCATCGTCTTCTTTTCTTTGTAGTTTATTCTCTACAAAGATAACATTCCCGCTGATGATCACTTTGCGGGTAGTGGGATCCCACAAGCAATACCCCTTTACTCCATCAGCATACCCCAAGAATTTACATTTCCTAGATTTTGAATATAGCTTTGAAATTTATTGGGAGTTGTACATCACGTACACAATACTTCCAAATACATGGAGGTTTAAATAATCAGCTGGTTTACCAGTCCACATCTCCATTGGTGTCTTCAGCTCTATTGCAGTTGATGGAGCTCGATTCACCAAATAACAGGCAGTATTGACTGCTTCTGCCCAAAATGATTTTTCTAGGCATGCATCCCTCAACATTGCTCTTGTTCTTTCTAACAAGATTATGTTCGTCCGCTTTGTCACTCCATTTTGTTGAGGAGTGTTCGCCACTGTGAACTGTCTTTTGATGCATTCTTTCCTGTAAAAGTCATCAAATTATTCACTTGTGTATTCTCTTCCATTATCTGTTCTGAAACACTTGATCTTATTTTCAGAATCAAGTTACACCCGCGCTTTGAAGTTTTTTGAAAGTGCAAAACACATCTGACTTCTTCTTAATAGGGTACACCCAACATCTCCTAGAATAGTCATCAATAAATGAGACAAAATATTTTACTCTTTCTAGGGATGTAACTGGTACTTGCCATACGTCAGAGTGAACCAGTTCTAGAACATTTTTGCCTCTAGAATTTTATGTGTTGAATTTCAACCGGTGCTGCTTACTTTTTATGCAATGCTCACACAAAGTGATATCTTTGTTAAGCATGGAAGTAGTTTTTGCTCCGCAAGAACTTTCATTCCTTGTTCTGACATGTGTCCAAGTTTCTGATGCCATAGCATTGCAGAATCTGAACTACATGAGGCAACAGAGGCTTCTACTACTAGCAAAGTCTCTCCCTTCAGCATATACAAGTTTGTTGCTATCTTTTCACATTTCAGTACCACAAGCGCTCCACGGAACACCTTCATGATTCCTTTCCGTGTTTCAATCTTGCTTGCATTATTATCCAACAATCCATAGGATAATAAATTTTTCTTCAGGTCTTTCACGTTTCGAACAACTTTAATTGTTCCATCATACATCTTCAATTTGATGGTTCTCACGCCAACAATTTCCAAGGCATGATCATTGCAACTATAAACAGATCCTCCTAAGACAGGTTCATAATGATGGAACCATTCTCTTCTTGAGGTCATGTGATATGTTACTCCCGAATCAATGAGCCATATATCTGCATAACTCTTTCTACCTTCCACGGTGGTTGACGCTTCACAACATAGAGCACCTCCATCATCTGAAGTGTTTGCGGTATTGCCTTGTGGATTGGAGTTTTTATTCAGACTCCAACAATCATTCTTTCAGTAAAGAAGCAATTTGGTTGATGATGCTATTGGAGGAGCTTGAGCACAATCAAGAGTATGTCTCTCTGTTTTGTGATGGTCAAAGCATCTAGCATAAAATTCAACATTTCATTCAAGGATAAAATATATACGAGTTCAGTACCATTTCATT